CTCAGGCAGAGGTCTTTCACATCACCTCCTGCCCGGTCCTTTCAACTGGAGATGCCGGGGATTGAACCTGGGACCTTCTGCATGCCAAGGAGAGGCTCTACCCCTGAGCCACAGCCCCTCTTTACAGCTCTCCAGGGTCTCAGGCAGAGGTCTTTCCCATCACCTCCTGCCCGGTCCTTTCAACTGGAGATGCCGGGGATTGAACCTGGGACCTTCTGCGTGCCAAGGAGAGGCTCTACCCCTGAGCCACAGCCCCTTCCTAAGTTGCAGCTGACTCATGGCGACCCTTCATGGGGTTTTCAAGGCCGGAGACAAATGGAGGTGCTTCGTCACTGCCTGCCTCGGCACAGCAACCCTGGTCTTCCATGGCGGTGTCCCATCCAAGTACTAACCAGGGCTGACCTTGCTTATCTTCCGAAGTCCGGAAATATCGGGCTGGAAAGTAGTAGGCAAAATCTTACTGCTGGTTTTCCAGTGGGAGGGTTGGGGGCAGCAGAAACCTTGTGGCTTTGTAGACTTTGCTACCATTTTGTGTTCCGCACTCTGGGAAACCGTCGGCTTCCTCTAGGGTGGGAAATTGATTCTTCCTCCAGGCCGGCGAATTTAAGGGTGCACTTCTGCAGGTAGGGTTTGTCAACTTCTGGGTGCTGGGGGCTGGAGACCTTTCAGAATTCCCGCTGATCTTCAGTCTAGGGAGATCAGTCGCCCTGGAGAAAATGGCTTGTTTAGATTGGGTGTCGGACTCATTTGTTAACAGGGCCAGATGTGACAGAAATGTCCCTTTGCTGGGCCAGGCCACGTGTGCCATAAAATGTAATGCCAGGTACAGGACATATAAATGTTATAAAGGACACAGGCAAACCCAATTAATGAGCCAGTAGTGGTTCAGACTCTAATCTGGGAGAACCGGGTTTGATTCCCCCACTCCTCCACTTGCACCTGCTGGATGACCTTGGGCAAGCAGTAGTTCTGATAAGAGCTGTCCTTGAAAAAGAGCAGTTTCTCTCAGAGTTCTCTCAGCCCCACCTACCTCACAAGGGGTCGGTTGTGGGGAGGGGAAGGGAAAGGAGTTTGTAAGCCTCTCCAAGACTCCTTCAAGTACCGAAGGACAGTAAATCCAATCTCTTCTCTTCTTCTTCATTACAAGTTCTCTCAGAGCTCTTCTCCCTCGAGAGCAGTCCTCGAAAGAGCTCTCTCAGCCCCACCTACCTCCCAGGGTGTCTGTTGTGGGGAGGGGAAGGGAAAGGAGTTTGTAAGCCTCTCCAAGACTCCTTCGGGTAGTGAAGGGTGGGGTATAAATCCAGTCTCCTCCTCCTCCTCTTTTTTATTCAAAATGGAAACATGCTTAAAACATTAACACTCTTACCGTATTTCCTTAAAGTATCTCTCTATTGCCCACCCTCCCACTTCTACTGCCCATTACCCATTGGGGAGGGGCCGTGCTTCAGTGATAGAACATCTGCTTGCTATGCAGAAGGTCCCAGGTTCACTCCCAGGCATCTCCAGTTAAGGACCAGGCAGGAGGTGATGTGAGAGACCTCTGCCTGAGGCCCTGAAGAGCCACTGCCAGCCTGAGCAGGCGATACTGACCTTGGTGGACTAGAGTCTGATTCAGTAAAAGGCTGTTTCATGTGTTTATGTACTTATTACCACTGGAATGATATACAGGGACATAATGCACAGCCTCTGTCATCTGGTTTTAAAGGTAATAGTTGCTCACGGGCTGGATCAGAGCCCTGGACGGGCTGGTTTCGAGCCACGGGCTGTATGTTTGACACCCCTGGTTTAGGAGGAGGAGATTGGATTTATACCCCGCCCTTCACTTGGGAGTCTCAGAGCGGCTTACAAACTCCTTTCCCTTCCCCTCCCCACAACAGACACCCCTGTGAGGTAGGTGGAGTTGAGAGAGCTCCTTCAAGAACTGCTCGTGAGAGGACAGCTCTGCGAGAACTATCGTGAGAGGACAGCTCTGCGAGAACTACGGCTTGCCCAAGGTCATCCAGCAGCTGCAAGTGGAGGAGTGGGGAATCGAACCCGGTTCTCCCAGATTAGAGTCCGCGCACTTAACCACTGCGCCAAACTGGCTCTTAGAAGAATGGACTCTGTGATGTCATATCCTCCTGAGGTCCCTTCACCCCCAGATCCCCAGGAATTTCCTAACAAAGTTGGCAACCCTAGCTGCAGGTGTGGCGTAGCTTGCTGTCGTGAGTGACCCTCGGCCGCTGTCGGAATATGCGGTCTGGCTACTCTCTGCGCGTGATGCCGGATAGGTGGCCCCTCCCTTTGGGGCTGAACTAGATGGCTTTGGGGGCTCTTAAGGGCTGTGAGTCCACCTTTCACTAGGACTCTTTGTAATATTTTTTTTTTTAGCAATTTAGGATGCTCGAATCGAAGGTTAGCTTGTTGCAGAAACCAGAGCAGCCCCGTAGCCAGGATATTCGCCAGGAGGGGGCTTTGGACTGGAGGGGGGTGTCGTGGCCCCCGCCACGGGGGTGACATCACTAGTCTTCACCAGCCAGTGAGATGGGACATCAGAGGGTCTCAGAGAGCCGATGGCCCATCTCGCTGGCTGTCGAAGATTGGGGGAAGGAAAGCTTTAGCTGCGGTGGGGCACCGTCCTAATCGAGGGGGGCTCAGCCCCCTCTAGCCCCACTGCTGACCAATGTTCCATCTAAGCTAAGTTAGTGTGAGCTAGCTCACAGTTTTTTAGCCTCCAGCTCACCGATTTTTGCCTTAGCTCAGGAAGGGAAGGCTCCAGAGCGAACTAATTGATGCAGTAGCCAAATCGCTTGCTCACAACTTTAATGCCGGTAGCCTCGCAAAGTAGAATTTTTGCTCACAAGACTCCACAGATTAGAGGGAGCATTGTGCTGACTATGGCCCTGAATTAGGGTCTCTTCCCGGGCACTGAGAGCACACTGTGGTAACTTTCCTAACCCACTGGATTCGAGTCCAGTCGCACCTTAAAAAGGTAAAGGTAAAGGTTCCCTTGCTCGAAAGCCAGTCGAGTCCGACTCTAGGGTTGCGGTGCTCATCTCCGTTTCCAAGCCGAAGAGCCAGCGCTGTCCGAAGACGTTTCCGTGGTCATGTGGCCGGCATGACTAAACACCAAGGTGCACGAAACGCTGTTACCTTCCCACCGAAGCGGTACCTATTTATCTACTTGCAATTTCTTGCTTCCGAACTGCTAAGTTGGCAGGAGCTGGGACTAGAGACGGGAGCTCACTCCGTCATGCGGCACACTCAGGTCTTGAACTGCTGAACTACTGACCTTCTACAGCCTGCAGTTCAGCATCTTAACCACTTGAGCCACCGCACCTTAGTGACCAACAAAATCTTCAGGGTATGAGCTTTCGAAAGTCAAAACTCCGTTCGTCCGATACAAGATACCTGACACAGAGAGCGTTGACTCTTAAAAGCTCATATCTCGAAAATCTTTTTGGCTTCTAAGGGGTGGCTGGACTCCTATACGGGTCTTCTACTGCAAGACCGACCACGGCGACCCTCTGAAACTATTTCCATGGGAGGCATTTGCTTTGCTTAGAAGCAAGGCTTCAGCAGCGCTGAGCTGCTTTGTTTCAGGGGAGGTCTCCGTCTTAACATGCGCTAACAAATGTAGGGCACATCTGTATTGCCAACCTAATCCAGTTTAGCGATCAGGATTTCTCCCCCACCCCTCCCCGGGAGCCACATGTTTGGGAAAGAGCCTTCGGCGAGATCTCTGTCTGTGAAAGAAATGTTGTCGAGCTTCTTCATCGTTTGTTGCTTTAGAGTAAAAGGAAAAAAACAAAGTCTCTGCCCCGGGGAGCTTACAGCTTTGTCGCAGTTCAGAAGGGAGAAAGAGGAACGGAGAATTTCTCTCCGCTCAGGTTCTTAAGCAGGTTTAGCTGTAGGGCGGGAACGTCCCCACGTCACTGCACCAGTGGGATATGGAATCCAGAGATCTGGAAATGAGTTTCCTTCCTTTTTGTTCTCTCTCTCCTTGGCAACAGGGTTTGCGATGTGATGTTTAAAAGCTCCATGTAGACAGAAAATCTTCTGTTGTGAGTCTTCTGGGTGGGGAATTTCCGCTTTGCAACAAACACCTCGAAGGTGTAAATAGGCCGCAGCTTCCTCCGGTGTAACGTTTGCATTTGTGTGGATACGTGCTGTTCAGACAAATGCTTGCAAAAGGAGTGTGGTGGTTGGGGGGAAAGAAAAACATTCAACCGGTAAAGACAGTATAAGTTTCAATGCTTATTATAACAATAAGTATAAATATCAATGTTTTCAGCAATAGGTACAATTGGCATTCAACAAGTAAGTACTTACAGCAACAATATAACTACCATTCAACAGGTGAAGACAATTCCACTGCTTTCAATAGGTAACCTACTCATCAAAAATGACGCAAGATGTTCATGTATACATTCCGGCAGGGCTTATCAAAAATAACACAAGATGCTCATGTATAAGTTCCAGCAGGGGGATGAAGATTCCGGATTTCAAACTTCGTTTTGATTACTCTTCCTCAGTACAAGCCATGTTGGGGGCTGCTGCCTTAAATCCTTTATTTACAACAGTCCCCCCCTCCAAAGGGTCTATGTCCCCACAAAACATTCACTCTTCAGCACTTTCTGTCTAGCTGTGTAGAAGTTTATCTCAGAGTTTGACATGGTTGAATTTTGTAGGTCATGAATATTGACACCTCAGACTCAGATTTTTTAAAAATACTTTTTTATTTTGCTACATTTATACTCTACTTTTCTCCCCAATGGGAACACAAAGCGGCTTACATCATCCTCCATTTTGTCCTCACAACGACCCTGTGGGGGTAGGTCCTGCTGAGAGGATACGACTGGCCCAAGGTCACCTATCCAATTTCCATGGCAGAGTGGGGATTCGAACCTGGGTCATCCAGATTTCTAGCCTGACACTCTAACCACTATACCACGTTGTTTGAAGTGAAGGCTGTGCCTTATCTTAATGCATTTTCTGTTTCCCTTCATCTTTCTCCTCAGAGCGAATCCCTTGTGGTCTGTGACGTCGCTGAAGACCTTGTGGAGAAGCTGAGAAAATTCCGCTTTCGCAAAGAAACAAACAATGCTGCCATTATCAGTAAGAATGATAGATGCCGGCGACCAACTTTTCTAGGTCTTTCAGGGGCTGGGTGTTGGAGCTGGCCACTGGCCTAGGAGCAGAGGATTTCATACTCAGCTTCTGAGTAGGAATGGGCATGAACTGCCTGACGAACTAGAGTACGTCATGAATTCTGGTCAGTTCGAGGTCCGTGAAGCAATGTTCATGAACTGAAGAACCACCACAGACTTTCAGGAATTTTGATGCAGTTCATGGCAGTTCGTGAAGAGCAGAAAGCAGGGTTTAAACCCCTGCTTTTTGTTCTTCATGAAGAACAGCTGAGTGGCAAGGAGCTCTGCTCAGCTGTTTGGTTTAAATACCCCCCTGCTTTCTACTCCCCGCAAAAAGTCACGGGGAGTAGAAAGGGGTTTAAACTTTAAATGGCTCACGAATCGGTTCAGTTCGCAAACCAGCATATTGTTTCCCAATAACATTTTATTGGTATAATACAATAGTATTAAGAAAACATAACAATCACATTTTTATAACATTAGCCAAGTCCATAATGAACTAAAGAACAGTTAAACGTATTAACCAGTACAATATGAATAAAAAATTAAGCATTGAAAAATGATGTATAATTCAATAAACTTTGGAACAAAATACCAGCATATTGGCTCGCTCCCAGACCTACTTCTGAGAATCAGCATGGAATTGAGAGTCCCCCCCCCCCCAAACAGCCACGAAACTCTGTTTCTGTGGGGAAAGTAAAGTGGCACACATGGTGTGTTCTGTGACCCATGGATATTTGGTTCAAACAATCAGGCTTGCCATGAACTTTCTGAGCTGCCCTGAGGCAAGCCACTGATGCCGTCCAGCCTCTACCTTTATATCTGTAAAATGGGAATAATACTTCACAGGGCGGTGGTCGTCAGAATTGCCACAAGGCCTGCATCCGATGTGTGTCATTGGCTAGTGTGCTCCCATTGAACCTATGGTGGGTTTTTCACCACTGGATTGACTCGTCCTCACAGGATCGTTCATCTGTGAAGGATTGCCGTGTCGCAACAGTAGCACAATACCCAACGATGTGTGGATGCAGGCTGGGCGATGCATGACCTCAGACCCACATATCCGAAGGACGGTCTCTTTCCACATGTCCCTGTGCACCAGCTACACTAATCAGGCGGCCATCTGGATATTCCTCCTCTCAGGGTGGCCCGTCTGGCATCGACCAGAGCCCAGGCCTTTTCCATCATGGTTCTGGCTCTGTGGAAGGGGTTCCCTGAAGAGGTGAGGGAGTTTCTGTTTCTGAAGATCTTCAGGCGACCTTGTAAGGCCCCCCTGTTTGCCTGGGCTCCTGAGGAGTTCTGAGGTGCCAGTATATTTGGGGGGGGGATTTGAGGTGGGTTATTATATTTATGTTTTTAACTGAAAACATTTTTTTGACTGTTATTGTAAACTGCCTTGAACCCAGGGCTTTTTGTAGAAAAAGCCCAGCAGGAACTCATTAGCATAATAGGCCACACCCAACAGCAAAACACATCAGCATATTAGGCCACACCCCTGACAGCACCGCTCATTAGCATATTAGGCCGCACCCCCATCCAGCCACACCCACCTTTTACTTCTTATTCTGTTGACCTTGTTTGTTGTCCAAACCCAGGGCCTTTTTTTGTAGCAAGAACTCCTTTGCATGTTAGGCCACACACCCCTAATGTAGCCAATCCTAATGAGTTTCTGCCATTGGGTGTGGCCTATTATGCTAATGAGTTCCTGCTGGGCGTGGCCAACTCGAGAGCCAACTGGAACTCCGTTCCTGTGCGTTCCTGCCCCAAAATAGCCCTGCTTGAAACTGGTGATGTCACTTCCTGTACAATATTGGCAACCTGGCCTGGGCCTTTCTCCTTCTCCCGATAAGTCCCCCCCCCCCATCCCCTGCCGGTTGCCAGGAGGGTCCTAGCAACCCTAACTACTACTCTTTATTCTTCTGACCACCAGAAACAGAGTAGGTGATGATGGGGTAATTACAAATTTTAGGTGGGTCCAAAGAAGGGGTCCAAATCTCTGCTAACAACTGGAGCAGAAACTGTTTGTTTATGGATTCAGGAGGGGTAGCCATGTTGGTCGGAAGCAACAGAGCAAAGTTGGAGTCCAGTGGCATCTTGAAGACCAACAAAGTTTAATTCTGGTTATAAGCTTTTGTGTGCACGTGCGTGAGAGCTTATACCCAGAATTAAACTTTGTCGGTCTTCAAGGTGCCAGCGGACTCAAACGTTATCCTTTTTCTATGAATTGACCGTGATCAAGGAAAGTATCTGTTCCTAAGAAAGTTCCAAGACGCTGACAACTTTGCACACAGAATGCATCGGCCTATATCGGCAAATAGACACGAAGATCTTGCAGAACTTTTAACACCAGTTGCAGAAATGACAACTCAGTAGCACCCCAAATGCAATCTATCCTTCCTTCCTTAACATACTTTGAAGAACACTGCTGCCTTATCTATTGTACGTGACACACACAACATGAACTGCTGACTGCTGTAGTTTAAGGAAACAGGATCTGTGTTAAAGGTCAGTGTGCCTTACGAGGAAAGGAATGCAGACTTTTGGAGACTGCAGCTAAAAGGTCAGAGAACAGTGCTCGGATGGGTCAAACGTTCCCCTCAGTTCTTTACTTGGCTTTCACAATGGGCCTGTTATTTGCTGTGTCTCATGCCTGTCACTTGCTTAAGGTCCAGATTAGAGATGTGAAGGCCCGGAAAAAACCCAGACAAATTAGGGAAAAAAACGTTTTTTTCCTGAAGCCTTTTTGTTTTTTTCCCCAAAATTGGAAAAATTGAAAAAAGAAAAAAAAATGATTATGGAACGTTTTATCTTAACATGAATAAAATATTTTAAGACAAGGTGTTCAAATATTTTCCAAATCATTTCTAATATATATATATATGGTATCAGATTGATCTAATTTCTGTGCACTGAGGACAAGCAAGTCCTAGGTTACAAACTGAACCGTCCAATGCAGGAACAAGACGCATTTCTTCCTTTAGGAGGTGCGATTGTCAGAAGAAAATAAAAAAGTTTCAGTTTTGTTTTTGCATGTGGGTGGGTATTCTGTTTGAAATAATTGTTTGGATACACTATATTTTTAATATGCTAGTTGTGATAATTTCATGCCAAGTAAAAATGTCCATAGTCATATTTTATGTTCCTAAAGTAACAGAATGACTTTCAATCTAGAAAAGACAAAAGAAATGCTAATGTAGCATTTTTTCAATTTTTCCGAAAAGTTCCGTTTTTTTCTGGGGAAAAAACGGGGTTTTTTCTGAGCTTCAAAATTTCCAGAAATTTTACATCTCTAGTCCAGATGGGCCCAGTGGTTGGGGGGCAGGGTCCCGAGCCTTTGGCCCAGTGGGACTTTTCCTGGTGAGGTTAATGGCCAATTTACCCCTGATAAAAATTAGCCAGTGCACGCTTTCAGCACAGGCCGGGTGTGCTCCCGCCCAGGGCGTTCACCGTCCTGTGGCAGAATTCCAAAAGTGCTCGCAGGGTCAGAAAAGTTGGGGTTCTCTGCTGTAGAGGATAAGAACGGTCTCCAGGTGAGGGAGGTTTCAGAAACTTATTAAGATTTGGCTTTCTTGTTCTGGCCAGAATTAGAGAAACGACCCGCGTAGCATTGTGTGGCCATGTGAGTTTTTGAACATCTCTGTTTGTTACCGAGAGCCATTTCAGTGTAGTGGTTAAGTGTCCGGACTCTAATCTGGGAGAACCAGGTTTGATTCCCCACTCCTCCACTTGCACCTGGCTGGATGACCTTGGGCAAGCCATAACTCTGGCACAGCTGTTCTTGAAAAAGAGCACTTTCTGTCAAGAGTTCTCTCAGCCCCACCTACCTCACAGGGTGTCTGTTGTGGGGAGGGGGAGGTAAAGGAGTTTGTAAGCCGCTCTGAGACACCTTTGGGTAGTGAAGGGCGGGGTATAAATCCAATCTCCTCTTCTTCTTCTTCTACTAATGATGGGTGGTACAGAAAGTGGGTTACGAAGACAATGCAGTCGAATAAGGGGCTTAGCCGTGCTAGTCTGCCGGTAGCCGTAGAAAAGAGCCAGAGTCCAAGAGCGCCTGAAAGACTAACAAAATTTGTGGCCAGGTGAGAAGCTTTCGTGAGTTGCTGCCCACTTCTTCAGATACACTTCAGATAAGTGAAGAAGTGAGCAGTGGCTCACGAAAGCTCACCCCCAGCTACAGCTTTTGTTAGTCCCGAGCCTTTGGCCCAGTGGGACTTTTCCTGGTGAGGTTAATGGCCAATCCACCCCTGATAAAAATGTTGACAGGGCTGCTAAAGTATTGCAATTAAGCTGCCTCTTGGAAACGTCGGCAAGGTAGCGAGTGACATGACTATGTCCCCTTCAACTATCCTGTGTTCTAGGGTTGTCCGTCGCACACCTTCCCCATTTGGCTGCTGGGGGGGGGGGGTGTCTTTAAAAGGGCAGTAAACAGAATGGGTAGTGCTGACATTCTCTGTGGACTCAGTGCTCATCTCTTGTTTTCTCTTTGTTACAGTGAAGATTGACAAGGATAAGCAGCTGGTCGTTCTGGACGAAGAACACGAGGTGGGTGGCTGCCAAAGCAATGTTCTTTCAGACAAAAGGAAATACTTCCTTACACGATGACTGATTAAAATGTGGAATTCACTGCCAGTGGATGGCGTGATGGCCACAGGCATAGACAGCTTTAAAAGATAGATTCATGGAGTATAAGTCTTTCAGCAGCTACTAGCTATGGTGATTTAGGGAACCTCAGAGGCAATAAACCCCTGAATATCAGTTCCAGGAGGCAACATCATGGGAAGGCCTTGGCCTCTATGCCCTGTTGCTGGCCCGCCAGAGGAACTGGCTGACCACTATGTGAGACAGGATGCTGGATTAAATGGACCTTCACTGGTCTGATCCAGCAGGGCTCTTCTGATGTTCTTATGAAGGCCTCGGCCTCTATGCACTGTTGCTGGCCCTCCTGAGGAACTGACTGGCCACTATGTGAGACAGGATGCTGGACTAGATGGACCACTGGTCTGATCCAGCAGGTTTCATCTTATGTTTTAATTAAGGCCTCAGCCTCTATGTCCTGTTGTGGACAAAGGAGCGGTTCTCCAATAGGCAACTCACAGGAGAAGGTCTATTAGTTTGGGGAAATTATCTTCCAACCAATTAAAATCTTTCTTTTTCTCCAAAGGAAACCAATTTGTGCCTGCCGCCATTAAAGTTTTTAATACTAAAATTTTACCCCAAGTTCTTTATGGTGTGCCTATATGGTTCAGTGCTTTTAACTGTGAAGTTGAATCAATACAATCATCCTTTTTTAGACAAATTATGGGTTTCCCAAACTGTGTCTCTTACCATGCATTGTGCTCTGAATTAGGACTTAGTTTGATTGAAACCAAGACATGGGTGTTAAGGGTCCGTTACTGGCTTAAATTATATTTTAACACTGAAGATGGTTCGCTTTTGTCTTTTCTGCTAAAGGAAATTCATAGTACCTTTTGGGACTATAATATTCGAACCAAAATAAGATCTTTGGGCCTCTCCTTGGAGGAGCTAGCTTTCTCCTCTGAAGTGTATATCTTCCAAACAATCAAACAGAGGCTGGTAGATATTGAACTTCAAAAACTGCAGCCCCTTCATCCCCCTGTCCTTCAGCTACATTAAGTCTTAAGAATGTTGTGGGATGTATCCCCCTGTATTTGTATAATCTTGATAGCCCTAGCCACCGAAGAGCGTTCTCTCTTGCTCGAGTAAATGCCTTTCCATCAAAACTATTGTATGGTAGGTTTCAAAATATTCCTAAGCATGAACGGAGATGTGACTGCGGTTCTAACTCTCTTGATTCAATTGATCACATATTGTTAGACTGTTCGTGGCATGCATCTGCTAGGGAAAAATGGTTAAACACTTGGTTGCATGGTAAACATCACCTTTCCAACAAAATAAAATGCCAATTTCTATCGAACGATGTTAACAGCAGAGATATCTGTGGCAGTGGCCAATTTTTTAGTGGACGTGATGAGAGTGAAAAATTTGGGAAAGTCCGTTTCATGATTTTATAATTAACCTAGACTTTGAGTTGATTGTGTCATTTTCTGTCTTTGATTTTAATGTTGTATATGCCATTAAAGGTTTATTGATTGATTGATTGATTGACAAAGGAGCGGATTGGCCTCTGTGCGCGACAGGATGCTGGACTAAATGGACCATTGGTCTGATCCAGCAGGGCTCTCCTGATGTTCTTATGGTATGCAGGTTTGCTTTGCCTGCTGCAGATTTGGGGACAGTCCTACGGCTCTGCCTTAAATGTGAAAGGCTTGCAAAGCTGTTATTTATGCAACATGCTGAGTTTTTAGCAAGGAACGGTGCCAGCATATAATACAGGGGCATCCAAAGTGCCGGAGCTTAAGATGCTGGAGAAGCTCTCGCCTCAGAAGTTCTGAACGGAGGTAGGAGGCTGGGGGACTTTCTCTTAACTTGGGCAGCATTTCTAAACTTCGCTGGAAAACCTACATGTTGTAAGAAATTATAAGTTTCAACTAGGTTTTTAATACTGGCCCTTTATCAGACTTCTTTCTTATCCTTGTGGTCCTTGATTCCAGTTTTTGGGTCAAGTTTGTTTCCCCCCTCCCTGTGTCTTACTTTCAAGCCATAGTTCTGTCAGAGCTGTTCTCTCAAGGGCAGTCCTCGAGAGAGCTCTCTCAGCCCCACCCACCTCACGGGGTGTCTGTTGTGGGGAGGGGAAGGGAAAGGAGATTGTGAGCTGCACTGAGACTCCTTCGGGTAGTGAAGGGCAGGGCGTAAATCCAATCTCCTCTTCTTCTCTTCAGTTTGTTGTTGTGGTTAAGTGCGCGGACTCTAATCTGGGAGAACCGGGTTTGATTCCCCACTCCTCCACTTGCAGCTGCTGGATGACCTTGGGCAAGCCGTAGTTCTGTCAGAGCTGTTCTCTCAAGGGCAGTCCTCGAAAGAGCTCTTTCAGCCCCACTTACCTCCCAGGGTGTCTGTTGCGGGGAGGGGAAGGGAAAGGAGTTTGTAAGCCGCTCTGAGACTCTGAGTGAAGGGCGGAGTATAAATCCATTCTTCTACTACTCCTCCTCCTCGTCTTCTTCTTCCAGACTGTTCTACCCATTGTGAATTTCTACTGCACTTGATGAGACTAATATCGCTTATTTGAAACATTCTCTCTCTTGTTCTGCTGGTTTTTTTCTATTCCGCCCTTCCCTCCCAGGAGCTCAGTATTCAAGGTTCTCACCCCTCTGCTTTTATCCGCACAACAGCCCTGTGAGGTGGGTTAGGCTGAGAGGGGAGTGACCTGCCCAAGGTCACCCAGCAATCTTGATAGGCACTACGGAGATTTGAACTCGGGTCTCTTTAAGGAGCTGCGGTGGCTCAAGTGGTTAAGACGCTGAACTGCAGGCTGTAGAAGGTCGGTAGTTCAGCAGTTCGAGACCTGAGTGTGCCGCATGACGGAGTGAGCGCCCGTCTCTAGTTCCAGCTCCTGCCAACCTAGCAGTTTGGAAGCAAGAAATTGCAAGTAGATAAATAGGTACCACTTCGGTGGGAAGGTAACAGCGTTCCGTGCGCCTTGGTGTTTAGCCATGTCTTCGGACAGCGCTGGCTCTTCGGCTTTGAAACGGAGATGAGCACCGCAACCCTAGAGTCGGAGTCGACTGGCTTTCGAGCAAGGGAACCTTTACCTTTACTTTACCTCTCCGATCTTAGTTAGACACGCTCACCACTGTACCGCACTGGCTGATGTTCTTTCTCCCTCTTTTAAAATGTTTCCAGGGTATTTCTCCAGACGAGCTGAAAGACGAGCTCCCCGAGAGGCAACCTCGATATCCTTTCTGGCTGCGATGTTTACCTTCTTCCCAGAAGAAAGTCCTTTCCAGGCCCCGCTCTCAGTTTGTATGGAGCAGCGTCTCAGTGTGCAGAACTGGGCATTGTGAGGGCTGGCAAATCGCTGCTTTGCCAGTAGAGCATGGGTCCCCAACGTGGTGCCCTTGGGCGCCATGGGGCTTTCTGACACTTTTCCGGGTACTCACCGAGGAATTCTAGAAAATGGGCGGGGCCAGGCGGGGGTTTTGCCCAGCAAGGATTCTGATTGGCCTTTGGAGAACTGATTGGCTGGATAGATCTTAGAAATCGCTGCTGCCACAACACAAGCGTCTTCGGTGTGTGGCTGAAGGAAAACCGCAACAGCCATTTTGTGGCTGGCTCCGCCCTCTGCAGCAGCCATTTTGTCTCTGCGTTTTATTTATTTATTTTTTATTTTATCATTAAATTTCTAGCCCGCCCTCCCCCCAAGCGGACTCAGGGTGGCTCACAAATGGGGCATAAATGCCACTACATAAAAACAAAATTAAAAATAAGATAAAACAATCATTTACAAAATTACAAGTGCTCTGGATGTTTCAAAATCAGTCTTCAGTAAGAGGGTGGTTCAGTGGTATCAGCTCCACGCCGTGCTGTGGTTCGCTCGCCACAGGGCCATCTCCACACCCCGCTGTTGCCCAAACCAGTTGGTGGCGGTGATGATGGTAGTAGTAGTGGCGGCTCCTACTCGAAAGCCTGGCGGAAGAGCTCTGTCTTGCAGGCCCTGCAGAACTGATCAAGGTCCCGCAGGGCCCGGATCTCCTCCAGGAGCTCATTCCACCTGGTAGGAGCCGCCACCGAAAAGGCCATGCCCCTGGTTGCAGCAAGCCTGACCTCCTTGGGTCCTGGGGTCACCGGCAGATGTTGCGTCCCCGACCGTAGTGCCCTTTGGGGTACATATGGGGAAAGGCGGTCCGTTAGGTATGTCGGACCCTGGCCATATAGGGCTTTAAAGGTAAGAACCAGCACTTTGAAGCGAATCCGGTACACCATTGGCAGCCAGTGCAGCGCTTTCAGCACAGGCCGGGTGTGCTGCCGCCCAGGGCGTTCAACGTCCTGTGGCAGAATTCCAGAAGTGCTCACAGGGTCAGAAAAGTTGGGGGTCTCTGCTGTAGGGGGTAAAGAACGGTCTCCAGGTGAGGGAGGTTTCAGAAACTTATTAAGATTTGGCTTTCTTGTTCCGACCAGAATTAGAGAAACGACCTGCGTAGCATTGTGTGGCCATGTGAGTTTCTGAACATCTCTGTTTGTTACTACCAGGGCTATTTTTGGGCAGGAACACACAGGAATGGAGTTCCGGCTGGCTCCCAAGTTGGCCACACCCAGCAGGAACTCATTAGCATAACAGGCCACACCCAACAGCAGGAACTCATTAGGATTGGCTACATTAGGGGTGTGTGGCCTAATATGCAAAGGAGTCCCTGCTCCAAAAAAGGCCCTGGGTTTTGACAACAAACAAGGTAAACAGAATAAGAAGCAAAAGGTGGGTGTGGCTGGATGACCACACTTCTGGCAACATGGGGGTGTGGCCTAATATGCTAATGACCGGTACAGTCAGGGGTGTGGCCTAATATGCTAATGAGTTTCTGCTGCTGGGTGTGGCCTATTATGCTAATGAGTTACTGCTGGACTTTTTCTACAAAAAAAGCCCTGGTTACTACGAATGACGGGTGGTACAGAAAGTGGGTTACGAAGACAATGCAGTCGCATAAGGGGCTTAGCCGTGCTAGTCTGCCGGTGGCCGTAGAAAAGAGCCAGAGTCCAGGAGCGCCTGAAAGACGAACAAAATTTGCGGCCAGGGGAGAAGCTTTCGTGAGTCGCTGCCCACTTCTTTCAGATACACTTCAGATGAGTGAAGAAGGGAGCAGTGGCTCACGAAAGCTCATCCCCCAGCCACAGACTTTGTTCGTCTTTAAGGTGCAACTGGATTGTGGGCTCTTTTTTTGCAGTCAAACAACCATCGTAATAGACAGCAATCCTACCCCTTATAAAAGCAAGACCTGAGTGGTGGCAGCTGGTTACAAGGGTGCTTTCCAGAGAACCCTCGATCGAAGGGAGTTTGCGAGCAAGGAAGGACGCCTCCTCTTTCTTTCCACCGCTAGCGACCTGCACCTCTCTCGGGCTGCTTTCCTTAACCTTTAGAAAACATTCATCGTCTATAGCTACAAGTATCAGCACGACGACGGGAGAGTCTCCTATCCACTTTGTTTCATCTTCTCCAGCCCTGTCGGTAAGCTGAGCTCAGGGGAATTGATGCAACGCTTGTCCTAAGAGCATAAGAGAAGCCATTTGGGTCAGGCCAGTGGCCCATCCAGTCCAGCTCTCTGTGCCACACAGTGGCCAAAACCCAGGGGCCATCAGGAGGTCCACCAGTGGAGCCAGAACTCCAGAAGCCCTCCCACTGTTGCCCCCCCAAACACAAAGAATACAGAGCATCAGTGCCCCAGACATAAGGATTTATGAGAAGCCATGTTGGATCAGGCCAATTGTCCATCTAACACTCTATGTCAAATAGTGGCCAAAACCCAGGGGCCATCAGGAGGTCCACCAGTGGAGCCAGAACTCCAGAAGCCCTCCCACTGTTGCCCCCCCAAACACAAAGAATACAGAGCATCAGTGCCCCAGACATAAGGATTTATGAGAAGCCATGTTGGATCAGGCCAATTGTCCATCTAACACTCTATGTCAAATAGTGGCCAAAACCCAGGGGCCATCAGGAGGTCCACCAGTGGAGCCAGAACTCCAGAAGCCCTCCCACTGTTGCCTCCAAAGCACCAAGAATGCAGAGCATCACTGCCGCAGACATGAGAACATAAGGGAAGCCATGTTGGATCAGGCCAACAGCCCATCCAGTCCAACACTCTGTGTCACACAGTGGCCAAAACCCAGGGCCCCTCAGGAGGTCCACCAGTGGGGCCAGAACTCCAGAAACCCTCCCACTGTGGCCCCCCGAGCACCAGGAATACAGAGCATCACTGCCCCAGACAGAGTATTCCATCTATACCTTGCGGCTAGTGCCACTGATAATACAGAGGTTTGGACTGGGTCCAACATGGCTTCTCTTATTTTCATAAGCCAAAGCTCCAGTGAGAATTAATTCCCACCTGACAGACACAACTGTATTGCCAGGGAAAGAAAGGACAGAGCGGCTCACGGACTGTCTAATGCAGGGGTGCCGAACTCATTTGTTATGAGGGCCGGATCTGACATAAATGAGACCTTGTCGGGCCGGGCCATGTGTGTCATAAAATGTAATGCCAGCTAGCGGAGATAAAAACATTATAAAGGACACAAACACAAAGGGTTTTTTTTAACTTAAAATAAAAACATGCTTAAAACATTATCACTCTTGCAATATTTTGTTTATTTAACAGTGACATCACTGACTCCTCTTGCTCTGAATTATTGCATCAAAATGTCTGTGCTGTTTCAATCTTGAGCAGTGTTCCCTCTAAGCTAAGTTAGTGTGAGCTAGCTCACAGTATTTTAGCCTCCAACTCATTGATTTTTTGTCTTCGCGCAGGAAAGGATGGGGCTCCAGAGCAAACTAATTTATGCAGGAGCCCAATCGCTCGCTCACAACTTTAATGCCAGTAGCTCACAAAGTACAATTTTTGCTCACAAGACTCCACGGCTTAGAGGGAACATTGATCTTGAGTATGCTGTTCAGGTGTGTAACTGTAAGCTGCAAACCTACGATGACACAGCAGCAGCAGAATTAGAAGCAGAAGACAGCCAGTTCCATTGCGGGCCTGATAGAAGCCCTGGTCTGGCCCCCGGGCCGCACGTTTGACACCCTTGGTCTAATGTGTCTTGCTTTGCTTTTGCTTGTCTCCCCCCACCCCCCAATTTTAGGTTGCAAGCCCGAGCAGCAGATGATGTATGCCGGCAGCAAAAATAAGCTAGTCCAGACAGCTGAACTGACAAAGGTAAAGTTGCGCGAGCCCCCCCCCCCCCCGCAAACCATCTCAGTCCTTCCATGCGCCAGCCGATACAAAAGGTGACCATTCAAGCGTGGCTGTGCTTGGGGTCATGCGCAGTTCTTCTGTTGTATTTGCTACCCCTCCCGATTTAGTATCGTCTGCAGATTCAATAAGCATTCCCTCTGTTCCTTCATCCAAATCATTTATAAAGATATTGAACAAAACAGGTTCCCAGGAGTGATGGTCTGATTCAGCATATGGCTTGTTCTGCTTTGTGAATATTACTTTGGGGAGGGGCTGTGGCTCAGTGGAAGAGCATCTGCTTGGCATGCAGAAGGTCACAGGTTCAATCCCTGATATCTCCATGTAAAAGAATCATGCAGTATGTGAAGTGAAAGACCTCTGCCTGAGACCCTGGCTCAGTGGAAGAGCTTCCGCTTGGCATGCAGAAGGTCCCAGGTTCAATCCCCAGCAACTCCAGTCAAAAAGGATCAGGCAGTGGGTGATGGGAAAGTCCTTGACCTGAGACCCTGGCTCAGTGGAAGAGCTTCTGCTTGGCATGCAGAAGGTCCCAGGTTCAATCCCCGGCACCTCCAGTCAAAAAGGATCAGGCAGTGGGTGATGGGAAAGTCCTTGACCTGAGACCCTGGCTCAGTGGAAGAGCCTCTGCTTGGCATGCAGAAGGTCCCAGGTTCAATCCCCGGCATTTCTAGTTAAAAGGATCAGGCAATCGATGATGTGAAAGACCTCTGCCTGAGACCCTGGAGAGCCACTGTTAGTCTGAGGAGTCAACACTGACTTTGGTGGACCGACATTCATATTCAGTATAAGCCAGCTACATCTGTTTTTAGGCTTTGTCCCATCGACAGAAGTTCCTTGTGTGAGCAGAAAAGTCTGGATCGAACATTCAGGATTTGCGGATTCAGGCCCTGTGATGGTTACTGCAAACTGGGATTAAAACAAGCTGTCATGCTACCCCCGTGGGTTGCCACGTTCCTCTGCCACCACTCTGGACTTAGGGTCCCTTGGGCAGGCCCAGAGTACCCTCCCAAGCCCAACCAAAAATGCCCCTTTTAAGCCGAGAAACATAGGCATGATGACCAGGCAGAGAACATAAAAATGGTTTATTGATGGTTTATTAATGGGGCAAGGAAAACAAGACAAGGAGCTTAAAATATATAACAGTGTCTAAAGGTAAATAAAACAAATAAAACAAATCTAACACAGCTACTTATTTCTCTTAACTGGTTATGATTCAAGCCTTTTATACTAGGCCTGTGCCTCTACTCACTCTGTCCCAAGTGAGGGATCTTTCTCTCAGACCAGACTGTCCTCTCAGCAGTTCCAGAGCCCACAAAGTTTAAGCAACAATCCCCTCATACAATCCCTGGACACCGATTGGTTACACCTGGTGCCAAGCATTGCGGGGATTGTAGGCGGTGTCTTTCCACTCCCACACAGGTCTCCTGGGCCTAGGCTTCACTAGGCCTTGTCTCCCAGTCCTACACAGATCAGGACACGAGCCCTTATTTCAAATCCTGGTTTGGTTGTCTGGAAACAAAACTCACTTTGTCAAGCTGTCTGCTGACATCACAGCTAACTGTGGTCTGGCCATGGTTTGTAGGCAGTCGTGGAACATACCCAAAACGTATTGCGGCTAGAAGCTTTAATTCCACTTGGGTCTGTGTTGCCAGCGCTACACCTCTTGTTCTGTTTTCCCCCAAAAGGTATTTGAAATAAGGAACACGGAAGACCTCACTGAAGAGTGGCTGCGAGAGAAGCTGGGCTACTTCCATTGAAACCCCGATCTGGCCTTCCATCCCGGCGTGAACTGGAACCCGATGCGAATCCTTACAACCATCAAAAGACTGCACTGTACTTCTCGGTTGTTTCCTGCCGTGTGTGGTGCGTGCGTGTGTGTGTATGTACATATATATTTTTGTGTGTGCAAAGTTTATACGCTCCTTCCAGGGAGGAAACATCTCTTCCTGTGTCACCAAACCTTGCTCCCGGGGTTTTTCTTTCTTTGTAACTTTTCAGAAGGGAAAAAACTCATTCTGCAGGGACAACGTTTCTTTCGTTTTGTTTTTGCACTCATGTGACTAATATTTCTATAATAGCTAGATCCAGAATTTAACTGTCTACAGATAATGGGGGCAGTGTTCCCAAAAGGAACATCTCCCGGACTAGCCCCACTAATGCGAACGGGTCCTTGGGCGCGAATCCCGCTTATTTTGGTCGGGTTTGTTCACACAGTGCTCTGGGGATTACGAGTAACCGTGTCTCCAAGCTACAAATGCATCCCTCTTTTTGGGGGGGGGGGGGGGGGAACAAAAACAAATTATATGTGGAAACGATGTTAACCAGTTGTTTAGGCTTCTAGGCTTGAAGGACAGAATTAGAATGTTGCCGGAGAGCTGGGTTATATCCTACTGTTTTGCTCCGCTAACAACTGTGAGCTTCTTCAACCGATGAAGCGTGTCGGAAGAAGGTTTTTGAGGCACTGTTGTCAGCCGCCCCGTCCTCCCGCAACATTTTAATTCTACAAAAAGTCCTTTATTTCCCCCCGCCCCCCAGGGGTTGACTACTTTAGAATTCCAGCTAGGATCTCTGTTGATCCGGAATCGACATCATTCCGTTTATGGGTCGAAACTTTGGACCTGCCTATTTTTGTGCGTTTAGCAAGGTAGCGTTTTTAGTCCGATAGAAACGTAACTTAAGAGACAAAAATAAAATAAAAACTTTAAGGGCTCGGTTAACATCCTGGGTCGCGGTCATTCCAGAAGCCTTTCTCTGTAGGCTTCATCGTTGCGTTCTTCGGTTTTTCCTGTCTTTTATATGCAAGCGGTTCTCGATAGGTATGCCTTTTTTTGGTTTTCTTTTGGGTTTCTTGAATCTTTCGGGTGGGTAGCTGTGCTGGTCTGCAGCGGAAGAGCTGTATTCGAGTCCAGCTAGCACCTTAACGGCCAACAAGAAGAAGGGGAAGAAAAAGAAGAGATTGGATTTATACCCCGCCCTTCACGGCCCAAAGGTGTCTCAGAGCGGCTTACAAACTCCTTCCCCTCCCCACAACAGACACCCTGTGAGGTGGGTGGGGCTGAGAGAGCTCTGAGAGAACTGTCCTTGAGAGAACAGCTTTGAAAGAACTTGTGACTGACCCAAGGTCAAACCAGCAGCTGCATGTGGAGAAGTGGGGAATCAAACCCAGTTCTCTAAGATTAGAGTCCAGCACTCTTAACCACTACACCAGACTGGCTCTCTTCACGACATACAATTAGGAATGCAGATCTCTGAGTCGTTATATACCAGTCAGAGGTGTTGCAAAGGGACTCAGGTGCTGATTTTCTGTCTCTTAAGCATTTCTTCCCTGCTCTAATCTAGCTGATTATATTTTGCCTTGTACCTCTGTGTTCTGACTCCTTTAGAATGTAGACTCTAATCTGAGAGAACTGGGTTTGATTCCCCACTTCTCCACATGCAGCTGCTGGTTTGACCTTGGGTCAGTCACAAGTTATTTCAGAGCTGTTCTCTCACGCGCAGTCCTCGAGAGAGCTCTCTTAGCCCCACCTACCTCACAGGGTGTCTGTTGTGGGGAGGGGAAGGCAAAGGAAATTGTAAGCTGCTCTGAGACTCCTTCGGGCAGTGAAGGGCGGGGTATAAATCTCTTCTTCTAACTGTGGTATAAGGACTCGGGAATCTCCGTTCCTACTTGTATCTGATGAAGGGAGCTTCGCCTCTCAAAAGCTCATGCCGTGGAGATCTTGTTGGCCTTTTTTAAGATTCCACTGGACTCGCATCTTGACTTTTTCAGTGGATTGTAAGCGACTCACTGCCTTTTGTCCGCTAACCTGATACGTTCCACCTCTTTATCTTACACCCCAATCATTCCTTTTCTTGCACCCAGCTTGCTACAAGTGGTGCATTCCTGATCCCACCCCCACCCCCAGCGATTGTAGTGGATAGCCGGGTGCACTATATAGAGTGGCAAAGTAGGACCTTGGGTTGACCAGAGTTGGAGTCCCTGTTTCTGCCATGGAAGCTCACTGGGTGACTTTGGGCCTGTCGCAAAAATTCTCGTCCTGGCCTACCTCGCAGGGTCGTTGTGCGAAAGCGGCGGCGAGGAGGAGGAGGACGTTCTAAGTGACTCTGAGCCCAAACTGGAGAGAAACGTGGGATAGGAATAAATTGAAATTGAAACGGGAATGCCGCGTAGCCCTGATGGAATGCATGCGCTTGCGCATGACTGGTAGCCAGATAAAAGTCGTTCTGCAGACCAGCTCTGTCCACTGTCCATCACCTGACTTGGTGGCTGGTTATAGCCCATGGATCTTAAGTTGCTTCTCCTTGGCTGGGAGAAAGGAGGAGGACATCTTTCCTTGTACGTAAGCACCGTGTCGTTGCCTGGCGTGTGCCCTCCTGTGGCCAGGGTGACAGGCATCCCAATGGCTGGTTATGCTTTTGTCCAGGCCTGTAAGCCACATTCGTTGCTGCCTAGATAACAACCGTGGGGCCGTTCGCGTGTGTTAACAGCACAGTCAGTACTACTAATAAAACCCGGTCGTCTCTCCGAATCCCGTCAAGGGGGGGAAACCCCTCTTGGGGCCTCTTGTGGAGCTGTTTGTAAGTAACTGTTGTAAGTAACTTTTTAATGTTGGAGCAGCATCCGTTTCTCAAAGTGGACCACCGGGTGAGGGGAAAGAAGCACAAAAAGTTAGATCCCGTGGCCGTGCCCGGCTAACAGCCTCTTTCATCAGAGGAAAGCTCTGTCATCAGCGGCACAGATCCACAGCATCCGTCCGGAATGAATGGCCGTTCCCTTGTGTCGTCAGAAACCACATTCCATCCTTGATGTTTTGACTCTTGTTTGTGCTGAACAGTCCTGTCATAATAATGCGGTTGACATATACAACGGCTTTCTTTCCCAGGGAGAGAGAAAGAGGCGGTGGAGAGAGAAAGAGGCGGTGGAGATTCCAAGAAGGAAACGATGCTTTCGATAACTAAGATACTAAAATGAATTTTCTAATGGGGAACTGGGGGGCTTTTTAATATATCGTTAGCTACCTTGGTGGAGATGCCTTTGCTGCACATTAACCTTGGGTCCTGGCGACACCTGTCCTGGTACCCACCAAGTGTTTTTAGAAAGGACAAGGGGCGGACCCGCGATACTCGCGGGGGGGAGGGACCTCCACACATGAGGCAGAGGAGGAAGCAGGAGGAGGAGGAAAGTTCCCCCCCATCCCACTGGTTCCTCCCCCGTCTCCTCCACCCCCCCTCGATTTCCCCCCCTTGCCTTCCCCCCCCGAAGCGAG